AGGGCAGTGAGTGAAGTCAAAGTACATGGGCACCCACAGGACCTAGAAATTGGTTTTAGAGCAAGCCTGGCTCAGTGGTCCAGCAGGCTGAAGTCACTCTGGTCCTTGACTGTCTAACACGTGCTTCTATCTGCTGTTGTGGCTGCCACTGCTCCTTCCTTGTCCTTGTAGCCAGTCAGGTTGTCACTGAGGCTGGTGTAGCGTTTCCATTCTTGATATTAGAAATGTGGATTTTTTTTTCATCATTCTTACTGGAAACTTATCCATTTAATACTTTCGAAGCACTGACTTTTGGCTTTCTTGGCTTTCTATTGCAAGTAGTGCTTACTTCCTGTTGCCATAATTCCATTTTCTTCAGGCTTGATTTGTTGCTCTTTTTCTGGCCTGAGAAGAAAACTCAGATCTTTAATTTTCAGCTGCTTTCCTCTCTTCACTTTTTGCATCTGAAGCTATAAAACCTTCCTCTAGTTCTGCTTTAGTTGAGTCCCATACATTTCAATAAACTGATCTTAGTTTTATCATTTGGTTCAAAATACTTCCAATCACTGTTATCATTCCTTCTATGATCTGTGGGTGATTTAGAAACAGTGATTAATTTCCATTTAATTGCGGATTTCCTATTTATGTTTTTGTTGAAATTTCACTTAATTGCACCATAGAGAATATCTTCCAAAGTGAGTTATCTTCCAAATGATGTTTGTCGAGGCTAGGTTAATGGTCATTTTTTGAAAAGTTCCATGTATACTTGAGCAGACACTGTATTCTAACACTGTTGAGTGCAATGTTGTTATATGTAAATGCCAAGTAGTTCGGATGTTTTCAGTTGCACTGTTCACAATCTTCCAGCTATTAAAAACAGTGATTGTGGATTTGTCCACTTCTTTTGACTTAATCAGTTTTCTTATATAGTTTGAAGCTGCGAGTACATAGAGTTGAGTTTATTTTCCCTATGCCTGCTGATGGATTGGTTTTCTTCATTATAAAATCTCTTGCAAAGCTTCTTGCTCCAACAGTATCTTAATACATTACAAACACTAAATAAACACCAACTGTATTTTTTAAAAATCCACTGAACCAAACTTTTACCTGCCCTTTACTAAAAAGTAAAACTTAAAAACCAACCAACCTGAACTAGGCTACATAACCTCTTCAAGGAAATATAGTTCAGAGCCAGCATTTAATCCCATGACCTTAAAGATTCAAAGAAACCTTGTATCACAAGTACAAATCAGATAAGAAATTTTGAAGAGAGAGTTATCTTACGGGCTATACAAATGGTCAACATATTGACAAAACTTGGCCAACTTGTGCCAGGTGACAATCTCATAATGAGCATGACCTAATTACTACTCTAAGTATGGTCCATGGACCAGCTGCACCACCCACCTTCTAAGTGCTAGCAGAATTCTGCTTTTATTTAAAAAAAAAATTATCAATGTAAAACCTTAATATCAGTTATACAGTGCTCATAATGAAACGTAGTTGCCTGTCAGCACTCCTTAATGCTCAGTGGCAATCAATTTTAATATAACAACCTTATTATATTTAAGTATTTTTATTTTTTTTTCATTTTTAAAAAAAATTTTTTTTTATGTTTTATTTATTTCTAGGAGAGAGAGAGAGAGACAGCATGAGCAGGGGAGGGTCAGAGAGAGAGGGAGTCAGAGACTGAAACAGGCTCCAGGCTCCGAGCTGGCAGTCAGCACAGAGCCCGACGCGGGGCTCGAACCCACGAACCGTGAGATCATGACCTAAGTGAAAGTCAGACGCTTAACCAACTAAGCCACCCAGGCGCCCCAATATTTAAGTATTTTTAAATATGTTCACACTATTTCCGGAATTACAAATTCTAGCAATTATCAAGTTCCTATATATTTACAAATGAGATTTAGCTCTTTCCTACACCCTACACATTTTTTAAAATCCCATTTGTAGCTAAATCAATATATTTGTTAGAGGCAAATATTTTCTACATAACCAGGTAGATCATCACTGTCAGCATGGAGCCTGATGTGGGGTTGGAACTCATGAGCCATGAGATCATGATCTGAGCCAAAACCAAGAGTTGAATGCTTAACCTACTGAGGCACCCCCAAAGTCATATTTAAAGATCACCTCTTCAAAAAAGCCTTCCCCTGGGGCACTTGGGTAGCTCAGTCTGTTAACATAGGGCTCTTGGTTTAGCTCAGGCTATGATCACATGGTTCAGGAGTTTGAGCCCTATGTTAGGCTGTGAGCTGAGAGTACAGAGCCTATTTGGGATTCTCGGTCTCCCTCTCTCTCTGCCCCTCCCCCACTTGGGCTTGCTCTGTCAGGAAAAAAAATTCAAACAAAAAGGCCTTCCCTCAAGATTACGACTTTCTTACCTGAAGAGGCCATTACATATATTTTGTTATAAGCTTTGAGGGCAGAGATGCGTCTTATTTTTATATCCTCAGCAAGGCAGCTTTCATACAGCTTTACAAAATGCTGCTTAAATGTGTACTTCACTTATAAAAAATTAACCTAGAGGGGTGCTTGAAGTGTCCGATTTTGGCTCAGGTCATGATCTCATAGTTCTTGAGTTCGTGCCCTGCATTGGGCTATGTGCTGACAGTTCAGAGCCTGGAGCCTGCTTCAGATTCTGTGTCTCCCTTTCTCTTTGCCCTTCCTCCACTCACACTCCATGTGTGTGTGTCTCTCTCTAATAGAAAGCCAACCAGGGTTAGTCTCTCCCTAATTAAAGTACCAAAATGGGCCTCAGCAATTTTTGCCATAGGGAGTTTGTAAGCTATTTCTTACCAGCAGCACTGTATACAGTATAGTCTCCGAAGTGTATTAATGGTACTACATTTAGTAGTTACCTACAGTGCATCTACACAATTAATGGTTGGGTGGCTCAGTCCTTTAAGCATGGACTTCAGATCAGGTCATGATCTCATGGTTTGTGGGTTTGAGCCCCGCATCAGGCTTTCTCTCTCTGCCCTTCCCCCATTCACAGTCTATCTCTCTCCTAAAAATAAACATTAAAAAAAGATTTTTAAAAATGGTTAAATTTAGTAAGATCAGTCTATGAACATCCCTTGTATCCCAAGAAACTTAATCAGGAGTTCAAAAATTCAAACTAATCTGGTTATCTCCCCTACCCAGAGAGTCTTAGTTATTTCTCTCCAAATATTGCCTGACTACAATCTTTTCTGTCATTCAGACTGGTAAAGCTCAAGAGCGAGAAGTCACCGGAGTCTACAGTAATGTATTTTAAAGGTATGAGTCAAGGTTTAATTAAAACTCAGAGAACAGAATATTTAAATGATGTAAGGCGACAGAATAAAACAGAAAACAGAATATAGTTCTTTTTTATACTTAATCTCAATGAGAACACTGTACACTTAAAGTTATAAAGTTTATTTTTATTTGTAACTATCCAATATATTACTTAAAATCTGATTACATGAAATGAAATACATCTGTACACACCCGCTATGAGCAAATTCCATGATATACAGAAAAGATGCGGGGTCACGTATTTCCACACCAGAATTCAAGATATTAAGTAGCAAGGAAATACAGTGGACTGAAAGCAGAGATGATGTACAAAAGTCAATAAGGTAAACAGAGCAGAAAATTAAGATGCACCTAGACACACCGGTTCTTAAGAGCCACAAATCATTTCCAGGTTAAACACTGTTCCTGCATTTCTGTTGACGCAGAAGTCAGTCTTGGCATGTGGTCTATACAAATCTGCAGATAAAACTGAGAGTTTAGATTCATTTGATTAGGGTCACACTCAGCATCTCTAAAAACCCTACTTTAGGACAGACGACCAACGCATAATTCCAAGCTGAATTCAGTGTCGTTCTTGATTCAGAGGCTTCATTCTACATTTTTAAAAGCTCTCCGTGACATAAATTATCTTTACCTTGACTGTTCTTCACCGTTTGTTTCGCAAATAACTACGTCGCTGGTCCCTTTGCTGGCTACAAATAAATACACAAGCGTGTCACAAAAACTGTTACTAAATCCTGCACTGGAGTTAACAGTCTGCGTACATGGACAGGACGCAAATTCTTCCGTTTTCCTTCTAAGGGGTTGGAATTATTCGGTAGGCTTCTCTTTCTAGATCTTGGCCACACGTTGGTCTTCAGGGCCGTGCACACGAGCCTGTCCCAGAGCCAGTAACGGTTGCCGACCCCTAACGTCAGAAGCGTTGTCTTCAACACGGCCACACCGAAACACGGCCACACCGAAACGCGGGAGAGGTCAAGTTTTCCAACTACCGCCAGGCTGGGGTCCGAGAGGCCAAGCAAACTAAGGGCTTCCGCTCTCTAGCGCGCACATCCTTAGACTTGGCCAAAATGCGGGGAGGCCGCAGATCAGGTTTCGGCCGGAAGAAGAAAACGGTCTTTGATACGTAAACGTAGACATACCCGTTTGTAAGCGCGCCTAACAGGCGGAGCGCGTGCGTGGGCGTGAGAGCCACCTCCGCGAGGACTCGGCGGCAGCGTCCCGGGCAGGTGTCCGGCACGCGTCTGCGCCCCGGGGTCGCAGGTGGCCCCTCCGTCCCCAGGCCCACTTCCCAACGCCACGTCTCGACGGCAGTCCCCCCGCCGCCCCGATGCTCCGGCGCCGGGCACCGCCTGCCCCCGCGGCCCCTAAAGTAGTCCCGCCAGGCCTCGACCCCGTACTTACTCGGAAGGATAAAACTCTGCGGCGGGGGCGGCGTACCTCCGCAGCCGCCACTCCCACCCACGCGGGCCGCCCGAGGCCCCGAGCGCACGCCGCTGCCGCCTCCCGCCAGGGGAGCGGCCGTGGCCCCGTGCGGGCGTCCTCCCGGCGCCGTCGCAGCCCCGGCCGCTCTGCGGGCGCCTCTCGCTCGGCCCCGCCGCCGCCGCTACGGCTACCGCCCCGCTCGCGCGGCGTCCCCGGGCTTCTGCGCCGGCCCTCAGAGAGGCGCGGCGCCGCGTAACCGCCAACCCGGCCAACCGCCGCTCGCGCGGGGCTCTCACCCAACCGCAACGTACCTACGGCGGCGCCCCGCCAGCCGCTTTCCTCAACAGAAGACCGACGAACAGTAACCGCCGCGCCCAATAACTCTTCCCGCGCCGACCCTCGGAGGTAAGTCGCGCGCGCCCGCCCCCGTCGGGCTCCGGGCCAATGGCAGCGCGAGCCTGCGGCGGCCCGGCCAATCGGGGGCGTCCGGGGGCGGTGGGCGGAGCGAGGGGGCGGTGACCGAGAAGTGGAAGTCTGCTGCGGGGTGCCTCAGGCTCGCCGCGGGAACGCCGGTTCCTGTCACGCAGTCGTCCTTGGCAGCCGAGTGGCGGAGTCGGTCGGTGGTTCTGAGTGACTCGCGCGACACCGTAGTTTTCTGAGACCTGTGACTCGTGAAACTTTATAAAAACCTATTGTAATCTTCAGAATATTGCCTTTAAAATTCATTTATCTGGATTAAGGAGTTTTTGGACGACTCCTTAAATTTTGCGACCCAGGAGAGTGGGCTTGGCCCACTTGTGTTCTCTTGAGTTTCTTAAATTGTCCGGGGCCCTGCCACCCTAGAGTGCGTCCGATTTCACGAGGCAGATGATGGCCCTATTTGTGACTGCTGTGTGTTCAGTCAGTTCTGAGTGCCCTCTCTGTGCTCGGTCAAGGGAGCATAACCATCAGTTTTTCGATAAAGCCTCATCGCCGAGGGGACAACTTCTTGCCTTGTAGTAACTACTAGCTAAGAGGAAAATGAAGCAAGAACGTAAGCTCCAGAAGCCTGGGTCATGAACGGAATGATGTACTCTGACACAGTTGGTTCCCCAAACCTAGAGGGATTTGCACAAGCCGGGGGGCAAAGGGGGGGAGTTGTCTATTCTATTAAAAAAATAGTATTGACCTTTTTGTTGGTCTCAGACGGTTCAATGGAATTTTCCAGAAACTTCTAGAAAAGTGTCTTGTGAATTGCAACACAATGAATGCAGAAGCAGGAGAATCCAAATGTCTTAAGTCAGACACTTAAGGAAATTGGCAAAAATGTAAAAAACACCAATCTTTGCACACGTTTTTATGTTTTGTTTTGGAAAATATTTTTTTATTTTTGAGAGACAGAGAATTGGGGGTGCAGGCAGTGGCAGAGAGAGGGAGACAGAGAGGACCTACACTGACAGCAAGTGAGCCTGTCATGGGGCTTGAACTCACAAACTGAGATAATTGAAGTGTCTAACTAGGGTTGCTGGGAAAAAGAGAGCGTGTGGGAGGCTCGTGAATTGGAGCCAGATAAGGAATATGGATTTAATTCAGTCAACAGTAAGTAGCCTTTAGAAATATGTCCATTTAGGGAAATAGTATATTCTGCGCCACAGCAAGAACTATGGTCCCACTCTATGCTGTCTGTAAACGACTCAGCTTAGATCTAAAAGACACAAGCAGGTTTAAAATAGATAAGAATAGATATCCCATGCAAAGAGTCACCAAAAGAGAAGTGAGGTGACAGTAATAATAGCAGACAAAGTAGATTTATAGTCCAAAACCATTGCAAGAGACAAAGAAGGACGTTATATATTGATAGGACACTCCATCAAGAAATACAATAGTCATAAACATATTCACATCTCACAACAGAGCTAAGAAATACATGAAGCAAAAATGGCCAGTAGTACTAAGGGAGAAGTAGACAATTCTACAACAATCAACAGTGAATAGAACAACAGAAAGAAGACGCGTAAGGAAATAGAGCGCTTGAACAACAGTAGAAACCAACCAGACCTAACAGACCAATGAAGGATACTAAAACAGCAAAATAAACATTCTCAGGTGCACATGGAACAGTTCTCCAGGACAGATCAGATGTTAGGCCACTATACAAAACTCACAAACATTTCAAAAGATTGGAATCACACAAGTTATCTCCTCTAAACACGATAAAATAAAACTAGAAATCAGAAACAAGGAAAACCAGAAAACGCACATGTGGAACATAACCAACATGTCCTTAAACAACCAGTAGGCTGAAGAAGAAATCGCAACAGAAATCAGAAAATACTTTGAGTAAAAATGAAAACACTATATACCAAAATATATATTTAGGATGCACTCAGCCTGCCAATTCTGAAATTATTCCATTATTGTCAAAGGTCTTGTTTTTGGAATTAAAAACCCATGGGTATCACAGTTGGGGGTAGTCATGTGATTAAAAGAAGCCCACAGATAGTGTTACAGAATGTAAGGTGTCTTTGATTGGACAAAGTTTATGGAAATATTGACAGGGTGATAACTATACCAACAGGCAAAGATAACCAAGTGTGGGTTCCCTGGGCTTCCTCAGTGGTGAAATGGCTATTGATGTTAAGGTCCAACAGAATGGGGACACTTTAAGGCTTCTCTTTTCCCCTCTCCTATGGCTCTCCCTAGAAGGAAGACATACATTATATATCTGCCTATTTACTGTTTGCTTCTCCTAAGTCTTTGATCTTCAGTGTGTTGATGCAGCACAACTCAAAACATTTATGTTATTTTGGGGTGCCTGAGTGGCTTAGTCGGTTGAGCGTCCGACTTTTGCTTAGGTCATGATCTCGCGGTTTGTGGGTTCGAGCCCTGCGTCGGGCTCTGTGCTGACTGCCAGCTTGGAGCCTGGAGCCTGTTTCAGAGTCTGTGCCTCCCTCTCTCTCTGACCCTCCCCTGCTCACGCTCTCTCTCTCTCTCTCTCTCCTAGAAATAAATAAAACATTTAAAAAAAAAACCATTTATGTTATTTTATGCTTGTTAGCTGGTAACTAGCACAAACCAAGTCAGCACATTCCTGACCACTTACGAAGGGATCAAAGGTTAATCTCCAAGGTTCCTAAACCAGGAATAGGCTTTAGACCTGAAGTCCTTTTCTGCTTAGATTATTGCAAGTGTTGTACTACAATGAGATTTTGCTTTAATATTTGTTTTTATTGTATGAAGTTCAAGTTTGATTCATTCACTTTTTTTTTTTTTTACTTTTTTAAAAAATTATTTCTGAGAGAGAGAGAGAGACAGTGTGAGCAGGGGAGGGTCACAGAGAGAGGGAGACACAGAATCCGAAGCAGGCTCCGGGCTCCGAACTGTCAGCACAGAGCCCACCACGGACTCAAACCCATGAACTGCGAGATCATGACCTGAGCCGAAGTCAGACGCTTAACTGACTGAGCCACCCAGGCTCCCCCCTCCCTTTTTTTTTGCTTTTAAAATCAACTTTATGGGGGTGCCTGGGTGGCTCAGTCGGTTAAGTGCTGCACCAAGAGACACAAAGACCACCTGAGACCACTGAAACCGAATTAAGGGAGTCTTTACTACCAGCCAGAACTGCACAGAGTTAACACAGAACTCTGGGGGCACCTGGGTGGCTCAGTCGGTTGTGTCTGGCTTTGGCTCAGATCATGATCTCGAGGTTCCTGGGTTCGAGCCCCGCTTCAGACTCTGTGCTGACAGCCAGCTTAGAGCCTGGAGCCTGTTTCCGATTCTGTGTCTCCCTCTGTCTCTGACCCTCCCCTGCTCATGTGCTCTCTCTCTCTCTCTCTCTCTCTCTTTCTCTCTCTCAGAAATAAATAAAATATTTATTTTTTTTTTAATTTTTTTTATTTGTTTCTAGGAGGGAGAGAGAGACAGCATGAGCAGGGGAGGGTCAGAGAGAGAGAGAGTCACAGACTCTGAAACAGGCTCCAGGCTCTGAGCTGGCAGTCAGCACAGAGCCCGACGCGGGGCTCGAACCCACGAACCGCAAGATCATGACCTAAGCGAAAGTCGGACGCTTAACCGACTACGCCACCCAGGTGCCCCATAAATAAAATATTTAAAAAAAAATTTTTTTAAAACCCATAGAACTCTAAAAGTGCGCCCCAAGGACCAAGAGCTTAGGGCTTTTTATAATGAGCAAGCAGGCTAGTGGGAAGTACAGAAGCAGAATTGAGCGGTTATTGTAAAAGGCTACAAAGCAATAAGGAGAGCAGTGCTTATCCTGGTATGTAGGAAAACATTTGTCATGTTGAAGGCAAGGTTCAGGGTTGTAGGGGAGTTTCGAGGGAATAGTCATTATCTCAGGGACAAAGTATGCAAACTGTCATAAACAACCATTAGCAGGAACATTAACCCTCATCCTTTTACTTGTTTTTTTTTTAGCTTGCACCTGGGGATAGTCATGTAGCCCTCCGAGTGCAGGCCCGGAAGGTAAACTCTGGGTCAAGATGGAAGGACTGAGGCTAACTTCATGTGCAACATAAGTGTCTGACTTCGGCTTAGGTCAGGATCTCATGGTTTGTGAGTTCGAGTCACACATTGGACTCTCTGCTGTCAACACAGAGCCTGCTTTAGATTCTCTGTCGCCCTGTCTCTGCCCCTCCCCCCTTGTGCATGTGCGCATGTGCACAAACACGCACTCTCTCTCTCAAAAATAATTGAACTATAAAAAAATAATGAAAATAAAAACGCTGTGGATATAAAAATTACATAAAATGGGGACACCTAGATGACTCAGTTGGTTGAGCTTAGATGCTTTCAGCTCAGGTCATGATCTTCCATCCTTGAGACAGGGCCCCACATTGGGCTCCATGCTGAGTGTGGAGCCAGCTTGAGATCTTCTCTCTCTCCTTCTTTCTCTGCCTCTCCCCCCCCCCTCTCAAAATAAGTAAATCAACATTTAAAATAAATTACATGGGGCACCTGGGTGGCTCAGTCGTTTAAGCATCCTACTTCAGTTCAGGTCATGATCTCACGGTTTGTGGGTTCGAGCCCCACATCGGGCTCTGTGCTGACAGCTCAGAGCCTGGAGCCTGTTTCGGATTCTGTGTCTCCCTCTCTCTCTGCCCCTCCCCTGCTCACGTGGTGTCTCTCTCTCTCTCTCAAAAATAAATAAAACATTAAAAAATCATTAAAAAATAAAATAAATTACATAAAACACACACATTTTAAGTTACAATGAATTTGAGGACTAGAACCACCACGTCAGTCAAGATCACTTCCTTCCCCAAAAGTCCCTTGCACCCTTTGCCGTCATCCCCAAACTCTGATCCACAGTCCCAAGAAACTCCTAATTTGCTTTTTTTAATCAAAATATATTAGTTGCATCTCTTCTAGAATTTCATAT